AAGATCATCAGAGTCTGATCTAAGGTCATCAGAGTCTGATCTAAGATCATCAGAGTCTGATCTAGGATCAGCAGAGTCTGATCTAAGATCATCAGAGTCTGATCTAAGGTCATCAGAGTCTGATCTAAGATCATCAGAGTCTGATCTAAGGTCATCAGAGTCTGATCTGAGATCAGCATAAATGCGGCTGTGATCAGCCGTCTCATTTAGATCTGCTGTAATTCTTCACATCTCTTCTGATAGATTTAAGTTCCACTCTGTGGACAGACTAAACTTGAAATAATGAATATTGTATCGAATTATCATTTCTCTATCAGTCACTACCAACTATTGTTCCTCCTTCTACATTTAAATCTTTAGAAAAATGTTTTTGAGGTTTATCTGGAAAAGCAGGAATGAGGCTGAATGTCTGAGTGAGAAAAGGAGGCGTGGGATGATCTGGATGAAACCCATGGAGGCTCGTTAAGGACCCGGGACGCACTGAGGGATGTTCTTTACCAGGAATAAATTGGTTTTTGACCGTTGGGTCAGACAGAGATGGTGAATAAAGGCTGTCACCATTACTGGAAACGTTGACTTCCTCCCGTCTGTGATTGGCTGAAGGAGAGCGAATCACAACCAGGTGAAAAACTTTAGACTCTATTTACTCCCCATCCACAGGCAGATACGCTCTATTTAAAGAAACCCTGAAATATTTGGTCTATTTCTATAGAACTGCTTCTAACATGAGTCATCTCAGCCTCCTTCATAGATCTAGATCAGTCAGATTAAAGCTCAGTGACTTTGATATAAAAGCTTTTCATCATTCTGACTGAGAACTATAGAAAAAAACCAGAATGGAGGTTAAGTCACACGGTGTTCAGTCTAGGCGAGTTTATTTCTATAGAACAGTTCAAAGAAAAGACAAAGTCCTGAATGTTGGGCAACAGTGGGAGGAAACATCTGGACTGGAAGCCATGAGGGAAGAAGATCTGCTCGAGAAGATCAGGAAGTTTGGAGACATCTGGAGGCGAGAGTGATGAAGCTATGAGACCATCAGAGCGTTTCTCACTTTAACAAACACAGAAATAAGATCAATAAATACAGAAATGTAGATCTAATGGATGGTGTGTTTGATTCTAGCTGAAATTATCTTCCTAAGCTGGTTTTATATCAGATAAAATCATCAGGCTGTTTCTGTTGATCGGCTAAATGAGGCGTCGCTGGACGAGGAAACCCTGTTACCCACGGCAACAGACGAGGGCTGGAGGAGGAAACCCTGTAACCCACGGCAACAGACGAGGGCTGGACGAGGAAACCCTGTAACCCACGGCAACAGACGAGGGCTGGACGAGGAAACCCTGTAACCCACGGCAACAGACCAGGGCTGATGGGCTGGAGGGA